CTGTTAAACATATATATATATATATATATATATAACTTTATATTCTACATGTTCTTCATGCTTGGAATGGTAGTACTTCGCTAGTATGATATCCCAATTCATGATTGACATGGTGTTAACCATGAGTCACACTGTAAAAAGTGGATTGAAAATACACGGTACTCATCTTCACTAGGCGGTGCTCCGATGTTTCATCGATAAATGATAGCCCTATAGTGTAGACTAACTAGTCTATCAACAATCAATGGGAATAAATGATGTAGAAAACACGAGCAAACAAGATATATGCTCAGTGGTGAACGAACAACAAAACTATTGATCAACGCAACAGTCAACTTACAAGCGATCAAATCGATACCAATAGTAATTGAACCAACTTCGACTGCGTTTAGCTCCCACGAAGTCCGTCAGATCAATGTTCTGAACAGAAGTTTGAAAAAAATGGAACAGCCATATTTCATTTTAGGTGAGGAGATGCAAGTAGAACTCTACAATCAGCTGCCGTAACGAGCTATCAGCATTGGCACTACAGCGTAGACTGCAGTTGTTAGTTGAACTGAGCAAACTAATGTGGGTAAATCGTCAGGAATGATAAAACTCACCAAGCTTTCTTCATCTTGTCGGTCATGTGTCTCGACGGAAGTCCTATAAATAGGGTGTTGGGATCGAAATAAATTTTGTTAGCTGCATTACAACTTGCCGCATGTTTATGAACAGGCAAACAGGACATGTGCACTTTACCTACGCGAGTTCTTCATACACTGTTCGCACCCAATAAGAAGTTGCTTTTAAAATGATTTCCCATTGGAAAAGGGTTCCACCGTGGAGTGCCATCAACGTACGGTAAACGCTTAGTCAATAGAACGTACGGGAAACTGTTGAGTAAACGAGATTTAGACAAAAGCGACTGAAAAGTCGGTTGGTTGGGCGGAAATCGAACCGCAGTCGGAAGTTCTAGGTCTGAACTGAGCTTCAGTTATACGGTAGTAACAACAGAAGACAGAAAAGTACTGAACAGATGTGTCATCCATGTTCCGAGGTCATCGGTATCAAAGATCGTGGAGAGTCTGGAAGTTTTGGATTCAGATTAACACCGGTGCATAACGCAAAATACAAGAAGCAAAAAGCTGTGCACCATTTCTAAATTCCTTCGCAGAATATTGGACATTGGAAATATTGGAAATATATATTGGAATATTGCACATTGGAAACACCTCCACTATACACAGTTGAGACTTAAGGTCACCTGCAAGAACAAAGATACTGTCAAAGTCCGGAGAACGAGATAGCAGTAAGATGGAAAGCGACAGGTTCGTGTGAATTCCATACAATGCAATTTCATTTAATAAGTAGAAGAGGTGAAACTGGGTGGATGAAATTGATAGTTTGTAAGTAGTAAGAGGACTTTAGGTTGCTGTTAAAAAATTTCATTCCATATTGGAAAGCCAACAAACAATGCGAAACTGTTTTGTCCTTATTGGGAATCATCAAAAGTACGCAGCTTCAGAAGGATGCGCATCTGTAACAGCAGGTCGGGTACAAGTGGTCCAACAGCAGTATGATGGCTCCCACCTAGACATGATACGGTGCCACCATCGTTCGGCTACACATTCCAGGTCAAAACGTTTCACGTGTTGACAGCTGCATTCTGCTTCTCAGCTTTTTAGCCTGCAACGACTGTAGTTACACGATAAAAATTCAATTGAAATCGATAATGCTCTGATGGTCCCGTACGTAATCCACGGGGAATTGATCAAAATCCACAACAGCTCCAACTATTCCAAATATTCTGTCCATTGCTAAATCAGTCGTCTCAAGGCGATGATTCTCAACCTTTGTCATGCCGAAATAGCCCTTTTAATCACCAGTTTGCCGATGGGTCTCCATACTTTCTGTCGTTTTGTGATCTGCCAGTTCGTCACCCCCCTTGGAACACTATTCGATCCGATTTGACATAGGTTTGCGTTCCGATCCAATTGGTAGCAAACATAGACATGATGTCCCGTTCCGCTAATCTGTGAGTTCTAAGAGTGTGTGGTACCCCTTTTAGTGAAATCATCAGAAAAGTGTAAATTATGCAGTCAACTTTGGAGGGAATAACAGTCTGTATCTCGTGACTGAAGTGGACAGTTATTAAGCAACACCATAGGCAGGGTCATTGGAAGTATGAAGTACGAAAAAAGGAATATCTAGCTTAGCTGTTCTAGTGGGCGATTTGAAACACCATGAATGGTGAAAATAGAGACAGACATAGACAGACGTACCTTATCTTCAGCCAACTGAGCATGGTCATCACAAGTCCACCACACAATAACACAGTAGTCATGACCACGACAATAGTAGTTGAGAAGAACATCTGTCGCATCGGAGAACTAGTGTTTCTGATGGCCAGGGAGAATGCCATCGCACCCCGGAGACCGGAAAAGAAAATCATATGTTGCATGTTCCAAGTAATCTTGGTGCAAGAGTCTCGAGGTCGGTTGATGTCATGTGAATGCGGGATAGCATTTTGATTGTCGTGAAAGCTCCTGAAGCTCATCGACCCACCAGGGAGCGGTGGTGCTGTTGTGGTCGCTGTCTGATCGTTTTCTAAAACAGCACGATGTCTGGGAAAACAAGGCTGCCTGTAGCCACGACAAAGGTTGATCAGGGCACTCACAGGGTACACGCTGACCATTCGAGCGACAATACAGGCAAGCAAAGCGATGAACACGAACCGAACGTCCCAATAGTGTTGCTGGTACGTAAATGTGGAGACACCGATGTAGGCGAAGACAAAGTTTTCTGACAGGAAGTTCAGAAGTTCGAAAAACTAGAGGCAAAGAGAACGGAACACATAATTGGTAATTCGCCGCAAAAATACATAACACAGAGACGTAATATTTGATTTTGAGAAGTTTCAGAGCCAGAAACGTTGGCACGTATCTGACGTTGCAGCCCCTAGGGATATAGCTACCACTGCTGTACGTTCTGTTCACTAAGCTACCGCAAACGCGTGGATAGAATGGCCTCATCCCCAACTAGAGATGAATCGTCATCCGGAATTTAAGTATACCACGGACTCTGAAACAGTCCCCAGCACACTCCTTAAAGACAGAAAAACAAGTATGAGTTGTTATATTGTTATGCCTACGCAGATCGGTTCGATTGTATGCCGAAACAACAGCTGTTTGCAGAAGAACCATTAACTCGACAAGGGAACAGTGAACTTGCATCGCCACGGATAGGAGAACAGATATAGAACACGTGATAGCCCACTACAATCATTCAAAAGGATACACACCTTCAGACAATCGACCAGACCGGATAGAAACTGACAACAAAAACACCATTGACAGCGATTAGCTGTCCTAAACTACAGCATTTCCAAACAGGCAGGGAAGGGGTTACATGGATCCCATCCTGGAGGGTAACTTGCAATGAGGGTACCCAGACTTTTCGTAGTCTCCTTCAAACCCCTATACCGAGTCAAAGACTGACCACCTCTCTATGCCACTATGAGTTCGGCAAACGATGAATCGGCTTGCACAATACATGACCAAAACAACCGCAGCTTTTCAATCGGGTGCAGGACACATCCTCGACTGAAGTCTCCACTGCGAATACTCTTTTCCGAATTGTCTCATCGCGGATTCGCCGGCATTAGCCTACACGAGCTATGGTTGTGGGGCAACGGATGTCGAAGACTGAAGACGTCTGAGTTCCATTATTCGAAAAGGCCGCGTCTCACAGTCGTACAACAAAAAAGACCGCGATACACACACCCCTTGAGGTTTATGGATATGCCGCGTTGCCGCTGACGGTGCATCAAATTAACAAACCCGAACCAAGCCTGAGGAGTTTGTACACTGATAGGCTACAACCGGAACCTATACGACCGCCAAGATACGTAAAACGCCAAATACTTGTCCTTGGATTGTAGCCGGTTGCATGCCTACCAGCATGACCTTACACTTTATGGGTATAAACCGCGTACCAAAAATGGTAAACTCTGGGTATTGCACCCAAAAACCTTAAGGCAATGCTTCAGAGAGCACTGTTTCTGAACACACCCACCGAAGCACACACACCGAAGAAGCAACGATAGGTGGATTAATCCTGAGGAGTCTCAAAAACTGGAATAATGTTAAACCGTTAATCCCGTCTGTAGCACCAAAAAGGCCTCAAGAGTAGTGTGTAACAAGCTACAGTACGGGTCGTGTTGTTTCATGGTTTGGGAAGTATGTCTCTGAGGCTGAATGATTTGAGGCGTCTTCAGTTTTTTGAAAGAAAACTGTCTTAGAAATGATGAGGGTGGTGTCAAAAGATTCGTGATGAGGTAACTATAGAGCATTCATGTAGCGGTTATTCAGCCGTGGAATACATTCCTCACCGTCAGTTCGGTCACGCGTCATGCATGCCGAATCCAGACGGGTGATGTTTGTTGTGCCTCTTTCAGTATGGCGCAAATTTCGACATGGACGACGCGCGACAGGGGTATGAAGTCCTCGGAAAGTTTGGGAGCGATCGGTGGATTCCACCTCTTAGGATTAGATTTATGTGACCCCTATGCGCTTGGCTGAAGAAGTTGTAAGGTTTGGAATGCTGTCACTTTCTGTCCAGGCAGCAGTCTGAACACTTCTATTGCTACCATAATGATCGTGATGCAGGTTGAATTCCAGTGTAAACAAAGCGGCACCCGCAGCTGATTAGAGGTTCAATGTTCACAGGTGATGATAGATCCAAAGAAAAAACTAGTGAAGTGAATTCTACTCAAGCCTGGTCAGTCAAGAGACAGCCAAAGTACCGTACTGTTTAAGCACGTCCTAGTGCACTGATGATTCATAAAAAGCTCTCATGGTCGTGTACAGTTCCGAAGAAGAATGAGTCGAAACCGGCAGGTTTCGTCCTGAACAATCAGTCGCGAATGATGAACAATCATAAAAGCCCTCAAAATCAAGAGCGTAAGTGTCCACAAAAGATGAAATTGCTGTAGCCACATCTAGTCACATTCTAGCGTTTTTTTGATGTCACAAGAGAATGCACAGTAAAGAATGCTCTATGAAGCAGTGCAACATTACACCGGAAATACCACTGAACCACGCACTTCACTTATGATAACACGGCGATGGCACGCAGTCTGATTCGAAACAAACAGAAGCTGTGTGTATTGCTTAGGTCTGGATAACGTGTTTCATTCGTGTCTGACTCACCAGCTAATACTATACACCTTATGGAGTGATCACCAACATAAATGACAAACTATTTCCGGCGAGAACTTTTTATCCACCTTAACAGACCGTCTTTACAAGTTAAGAGTAGTTGGTGGAAATAAACAACTAAAAACAAGTATTATTACGGCTAGGTGGCTACCTGGAAAGGTTTATCCAGACTGTACCTGAAAAATTACATTACATCTAACTCAACGTGTGACAGACATGCAGGATGGTGGCCGGAGTACATCACGGAAGGGGACCAAACGATACGACAAACCCCAGTATAAAGAATAGCATCAACAGAACAGAGGTAAAGGTTTTGGCCAAGCTGCTTCAGTAAGAGAACTATAAGCTATCGTTTCTTCCGTCTCAAGTCGCCTTTCAAATCGATACAAAAAACGACCAGACAGTAGGATAGTTGAGGCCTAATTGAAAGAAATACACCTCCCCGCTATAATATAGGTCGGAAGGGAAGGACAAAAATTCAGATAAATAAAGGTTATCAAGCAGGAGAATGATTTATGGTTGAAATCAGTCAATAGGGATCGATACGCTCTGCTAACTAAGACAATCCTGTAAAACGCCGCAATCTGAGCATCCATCGATCGGTCACCCAGAGCTAACGTCGTAATAAAGGGCGTACTCCTAGCTTGTGCTTGTGATCGCGGGCTATCGACACAAGTCCGTCCGTCGCAGCTCACCGAAGCCAGTTTGAATTAATCAAATATGATTTACTTCCACCTATCAACTACCAACCGGGACAAGCCCCACGAAGGGTGTGAACAGCGATTAAAGAACGGTTTTATGCGGGAAGTTCGAAATTTCGAATACTTATCAAGTGCAATACGTGTGTTGTGAATGGATCGACTTAAGAGGATCAAAATTCAGACCACAAAAAAGTATAGTGTAGGTACGACAGACTATACACAGGGTATGGTCCACAACCTTTTCGAAGAAAGGCTGGTCTAAAGTGCATCAGGCCAATAAATAGGCTCCCTGCTCACTCAAAATCCGAGCGAATTCCAATCTGATCGCTATAGTTGGCTAGATGTGTGGTACCACAGAAATAATTTCAGCCATGCGTAAAATAAGAAATACAAACTTAGCTTCTTAATGACGTAATTGATGACGTATTCGTTTACTCGCAGTTCAAGTCTCCTTTCAGTCCTTCCTCTGCAAGCTTCATCGTAAACGCAGGTGCAGGAAGATGAAACAATGTTTGATGTTTTGATTGATAGCAAAGGCACGCTCCGGTAGCATATGTGATAGTACAGAATACGAGTTGTCCCGCACAATTGTTCGGAACGTCCTCTCTGCATGGCACATGGAGAAGTAGGCCATTCTATATCGTTCAGCCGTAGCACCCTTTCTGTGCCTAGCTGCCATGCCGCCCGAAGGAAGCACGAAGGCTGGGATACTGTCAAGTTGTTGAAGCCTAGACAGGGGAAGTCGAAAGGCGGAGGCCGGGTTCGAACCATGAACCTCCGGTCAGTAGATTCGCAATCTAACAACTTGTTGTACATTTGATTTCAGGACCGCTAGGCGACAAGCTTCGCCATGGTTAAGCATGAACATTTTCAGAAGGATTATGGTTCAAATCCATTTGCTATTTGGAATCCACCAAACCTATCCGAATATTCACAATCATTTCTAGTTAGGACTAGTCGGCTGCGTAAAAGTTCAACTCTCCTGTTGCGTAAATTTAGCAAGGCAACTAAATGAAAAAACGGTTCCATTTGTTCATTTGGCCAATTACTGGACGAAGTTCGAACTAAATAACAAATACAGCGCACAAAGGTGAACCGAAATTCATCACCCAGGCTTCTGACGGTATGGAACATCCGAATAACAGCATTTCACGTGAATGATGTCATGTGCAAGCAATGTGAATGAGGTTTGGTCTGCGAACACGTGGTCTCAAGGAATCACAGCAAAAGACCTAGTTATATCACTCAACCAGGTAACCGTTTTCGACTCAGTTGTCGTTAGGTGTCCGAATTCGACGAGAGGATTAAACTCACAGTATACTCGACCATGAGAAAAGGGTGGAACGCAGGGTTGTAAACAGGTACACGAAAGCCACTCTACATAGCACTGCCTGTGGGAGAGACAAAGCAAGTCACTCCACAGGATTGGCTTGAAAAAAACTAATATTCTCTACTACTCATAGTGCCAAATTGTAGGAACGAAACATCCATCAAGTTCAACCATACGGTGGTATACAAAGTTTCTGTGTATTCAGTATGAAAATTTGACTGAAGAGTTGGTGCAGGAGGGGGTCAGACAAATCTGCGTGAATTTCGTGGTCACTGCTGCCACTAGAGAAATACCTCACGCTGTGCACGAACAAGCAGACCGAACAAAAGCGGCCACCAAAGAGGGGCAGCTGAGGTTGGGAGATGGCGTGCTTTATAGCAATACATGTTACAGGCACATGTGACAGACGGTACGACGCGGTGATGAAGTTGATAGGCATACCTGTTTCGTCCATAGTTTCGATTCCTCTGAAAGGTTATTGTATGTGTAGTGGGCTTGTATGATGCCGCAAAACAAAACAGCAACAATTCCTGCGGAAAAATGGAATAGGGCAATCAAATAAGAAACAACCTGAATGTTGAATGTTAACTGGTTTGCGTGAATGTGAGTAAATGGGCCACAACAATAAGTTGGACATCGGATTTCCCAATGAACTGATGACTCATCTTCCCAGTGTTCCACCCAATGGGTATGCCACCAAGTACCCTATAGTCAAATAGTCCGCTGGGGTAGACATCATAAGAACAGCACCAGAAAACTGCGAGCTATAGAATGTGACACCCACAGTAGTCTAGCCCAAAATAGACCGACTATCCCATTAATAAAGAATAATTAGTCCGGTCTAAAATTTATATCACCTGAGGGACCGCTACTGAACTCAAAATAAAGACCACTTTAGGAGCTATTTCCCCTCCCGACAAAGATCAGGACCAGGCACAAAACAGGACCTTATTGTCTGAAGATACCCACGTCTTCGAGGCTTCCAAAAACGATTTTTAACCATATGGACCTTAAATTCTACGGTAATCTTCCAATAATAGACAACATCCAAAGGGAGGTTGCTCCTTCGAAGGCACAGCAGCACCCTCTGTCATTGATGTGGCTGAAACCCAATAAGGTACAAACTAAATTCGAGTCTGATACGAGAAGCGCACCCGGAAAGCGCTACTACCAAAAAGATGCACACAGAATCACACGGCCTGTATGACAGCCTATAGTAGATTGGGGTAAGGGATGACACGATCGGGAGTGTAACGAAACAAAAGAAACAGCGGAAGAAACGCTTAAACTAGTCTGCACATAAAAATCGTTCAGCTGTAGCACCCTTTCGGTGCCTAACCGCCATGCCATCCGAAGGAAGTACAAGAGCTGGGATACTGCCAGGTTGCCCAAGCCTAGACAGGGGAAGTCGAGAGACAAAGGTCGGGTTCGAATCACGGACCTTCCGGTCAGTAAATTCGCGCTCTAACCACTTGGGCCATCTCACCCCAGTCTACATATAGTCGAATGGGAAGATGTTCATATAGGGAATACTTTGCATGAGTCCAACGGACAAATCCTCTGCGTACGCACACCACGTGGTGAAATCCGCAGGCAGTCTTCCAATTTGATTCGATCAGACCAGACTAATGTACCGTCGTTATGGTATGCCATTACTCTCACCTACAAACCTTGGCTATACTGAATTTCGGCGGCTGCCCAGTATTCACCGGTCCAAATGGCAACATTCCAATAAACCGAGACACTTGATATTGCACTTTATCCTGATTGATCGTTTATGCTGGTATCTAAAGTGTTCGTACAGAATATTGATTGATTTGATCAATGTGACAACTGTACCATGACCATCAGATGGTGTTACAATTAATAAATCAAACAGGGACATCTATCATCGGACAGTCAATTTCATTAGGGAAACCTGGTTGTATAGCAACTTGGCAGTCTAGATGCTGTAGTGCCTTGTGAAAACCGCGAGAGGAGACGGATTCGATGTCCAACATCAACTGTTAGCCTCACGTGTGGATAATGATAATCAAATGGTGCAGTGTCTGCTGACTGATACCTGTTCGCACCATAAGGTCCCTCAGATAACAGATGTATGAACGTAAACATCCACAAGGGAGACTCAAAACTACAACAGGGGATATGAAAAGGCGTAGTTCACGTGGATCTCACATGGTTAAACTCCTGTGAATGTCTAAACAACACCCGATAGTTCCACACGGGTCTTCACAACTCCGCTAGAATTCATAATATGGCAGACTCTATGGTGAATTTGCTCCGATGGAAACTCTCCAAATTCCACATCGATAGAAGGATCCAATAAGTGGTCTGCTACGCAGTTGTTTAATAAGCAACCGATCATAGTATGTCTCAGAGATTAACAAGGTAAACCTCTGTAACCGACTAGATGTTCAAACCGTTCAGAGTCAAAGTGGTTATTTCTCTGAATTGGTAGGGATGACGGTGAGATCTAGCAAACATTCAGTAAAAACCGTGTGTAAGGGTAGCTTAGACGAAAACATAAACGTCAAGAAGATTGAACGCCAGACTCTCCCATATGTGGGGGGAGTGAAACGGCATTTCAGGCGAAGCGTCTGTTGGCTTAAATAAGCTGAGCAAGCGCCAAGTTACATAAGCCAACAGATGAACCATAAATACATGCCTAAACGCCAAATGTAGGGGAGCGGTCCCGCTAAATAACCACACAACACATCGATTAGACGGATGCGTCACGTGGAGCGAAAGGTGTGACCTGATTGGTCAGAACGCCAGCCAATCAGGATCGAGCATTTGGAGCGCGGTGCTTCTAGCCCATCACGAAGATTCTAGCAGATTCTTGTGGAATATTCCGAGGCAACCCTATAAATACAGTTTCACAAACTTTCCGTTGTCTCCGTACCAGGCTGTGTCAACCTACCGTGCCTTTTGGTAAAGTATTGTGGGCGGAACAGGGAGCCAAGGACCGACCGCCGTTTGCGATTCACAAGGGAAAACTACGGACTTCACATCTAGTTGGGTAATGAAAAGGGTACTTCATTTCACATATCAATACCGATACACTTTTAATAACCAGAACTTGCTTATCCGCTGAAGAGGTCTTTTGTAGGAATAAATGTACTTATAAATGTATTTAGTCCCTGATGAGATCACATGGGAGTTATGGCAAGGGGCTTGGGCACAGCTGGAATTCCCATAATGTAACCCAAGCATCGCCATCATTTTTTGGATCGAAGGAGTCGCAAGCGCCTCAACGTAATTGCAAGTGAGCATATTGACTGACCTGGTCTACCTGCCCTGGAACGCTCTTGAAATGCCTTCGGCAAACCCGTTCATCGGAGACTGCTCAGGAAGTCCAATTCTACGCCTACTCAAGGATGAGGTTTCCAGTGAAATGAAAGCTGAAAGCGAGTTTACGGGTCATTGGTGTTGTCTATCCATGGAAACCGGATGAACTCAAACATAGCACCACCAAAGAGTTGTGCATGAGGCGCTCTTGGTTCGTGACTCATAGGGATGACAAGGCAAATTTGCAGCTAATGGTGGAGATTTCGAGTCTAGGCATCTTCGATGACTCACCTGTATTCGAACGACCTACAAACTGAAGTTAATCCACGGCTTCAAGTGGAATGCGAAGTCCGCGCTCCATTCTACCTTTCAAGTCTAACTCGAAGAATCCGCGTCCATCTTGCCAGTTTTCTTCATGTAAAATTATATCTACCCCCTTGATTGGGTTGTAGGTAGTGGGAATATCAACTGGGCATCACTCTTCAAGATTGGCCCTCCATTTATCCTAGGTCCTCCCTTCCATCAAACACTAATGTTCTACAGACAAGGTTTTTTAGGTTACTTTCAAATCCAGGGGCACTGATATCCACAAGCAACTCCTTATGCAGAGTTAGCGTCCGACCGCAAAGCATAAATCGGATGGCTGCAAGTTCCACCGACTACCCGGCTTGATATTCTGAACGTGTTAGAGAAGCTACCGGGAGGCAGTAAAATATAGGCGAGCCTTTGCAAGATGAACATGGTTAGATAATAACCAGCAATCGTAGATACGTCGAATTTTGCACAGAGCGCTTCAGATAAAAGGTCAATTGTCCATACCCCAACCTATCGTTTTTAAACAGTGGCTTGTCCACAGAGACAAACTGATACTGATCAGGTGAGCAACAAGAGTGGCCACTTAAAAATGAAAAAAACGAAGCTGGTCAGATGTTGCCATCATTACTTTGTGACAGAGGGCCGGCGCTAGCAAAGCAGTAAATATAGACATTTGAACGAACACCTAATGACTGAAGTACACTCCATATCACTTTAGAAAGATCGACGCGCCACCCGGGCGGAAATCTACATAACTTTACTTCTAAAATTCGGCAGCTATAATTCTTTGTCGGCTTAATCCGACAATGCAGTTGTGAAAAACAGGGTAGGTTTCGCTGGTCACTTATCCACCTTGAGGGGTTGTATCATGTAGTTGTAGGTCAAATCTCCTCAACTTCTTTGAAATACAAAGTATGGTTGCCAGCATCGATGAGGCTGTTCTGGGAGAGTACGAGATAAATTCACTAAGGGCTCCTGCCTCATGCGTGGCGGAAAATTCCGCGTTTCTTTTCTATCGCAAGCAGGAAGCAATTTCATTGTGGGTGATATCTCCAAGGATGTATCTAAAACTTACTTACAACGAGGTTAATTTACTACCAAAAGAGCGTCCTCGCGACCTAGGATATGCGGATATGGCGAGATGGATCCGTGGTTAGAGCTCGAAGTTACTGACCGGAAGGTCCGTGGTTCGAACCTGACTCCTCTCGATTTCCCCTGTTTAGGTTTGGGCAACCTGGCAGTATCCCAGCCCTCGTGCTTCCTTCTGGTGGCATGGCAGTTTGTTAGCGAAAGGGTGATGCGGCTGAAGGATTTTCGGACCACGCAGTGCTAGTTTGTGGTCGCGTACATGGCGTCCAGAATACTTTCATTAGGCTGACCTCTTTCCATCGCTTTAGTCGATGCACTCATTACTACTAATGGTATCAGACTAGCCAGCGCCGGAACAAAACCTCGATATCACATAGGAAACTGTAGAAAACGTGCATTTAGACCACTACTTCGGCGCCAATGAGATCAAGGATGAAGTAGCAATAGTGTTCGTAAACTTTCGCTAACTGTGGCAAAGATGGGAGATCACCCAAATACTGGAAGTGTGTGCGTACAGCTGGTGTTGGGGAACTGAAACCTTGATCAGGAGCTGCTTGACTGTATAGGGCCTGCAACGACCGAACATTCACTCCATCGGATGTTAGAGCAGCTCTACATGTTAGTGCGAATCACAATCTTGGTGTTCCTCAGCAACAAGGCCGCGGCCGTTTCTGTAAGATCGTCGTTTGCATGCGGCGCAAGATATGGCGGCCAACCTATATCAGTCGTATTCTGCTTGTTGTGTATGATTGGGTGTTTGAAGGATTGCGACATGTTATTACAGGTCCTCTCCCTGTTCGCGCTTTCTTTCTCCCATCTTGATGCATCAATGATGAGTGGATAAACTTTGTGGTTGTACAGCAGTAAAGCGTCAATATCAACACCGATGCCGCTGTCTTTGTTGACGATGGTGGTGGCTTGGGTGTCCATGTGATATCAGCGTGAGTGTGAATTTAACAATTCACAGTACTTGGGTGTGCCCTATCGCTTTGGGTGTCAGAAATCCGACATTGTGCGAACCTGAGGAGACTCTCACAGTTGTAAAATCTCTATGAAGGGATGATTCTTATTGGTCCTATGATGCGTGTTTTTGAGGCTAGAAAAAGGGATCAGCCTCAACGTTTCCTTCTTTGTCTAAGGGAGGACAAGCTGATGGGGACGTCGGACTACTAACAATGAGGTACATTTGAGTTACTGAGGAAACTGGGTCACAGTACACATATATGAGCTAACGACACCTTAGAGAAATTGGAGGTTGCTACTAGCCTGCGGATTGTACCTTTACTATAGTGCATCAGATGGGGCAGAGCATGTCGGCGTGTTAGAAAAGTACTAGTACTTGTACTATAAAAGAATAGTGACAGAGAGAAGTGCATTCAACTGAAGAGCTGGGGGCTTGCCCACTGCTAAGCGAACATCATCGGCCACAACCCTGTCTTATTACAGGCAATGTGACCGTTGAAAGGGGGTAGGATAAGTATCAGCAAGTTTCTGGGAGTAACGTTGGTAGTCCACGTTAAAGAGAAGATCGTCAGTTTGTTCGGACCAGTTTTCCAGCGGGACTGTGGGAACACGGCATAATGAACTTCGGAAGAAATCTCCGCTACATCCTTTCCAGAGTTGGTCTGACAACTAATGAACTAAAAAAAATTGCCAATGCACATTATACATCACACAGAGTATCACAAAAGGTCATAGAAAAACGCAGTACGTACCTGTAAAACCAACTGTTTCCGCCAGCAGGAACGTGCTGTACGACATGAGCACGAATAAGGTAGTCTCGAGTATGGGGTGCTCTCGGATGTGCGTGAATTTGGTCAGTAGTGCTGTCAGCATACCGACAACCACACCAATGCAAAACGAACCACCAAACATCAAGGAGAAGTGTGAGACGGAGGAAAGCAGTGCGGACGCATCAAACGAACCAGCGGACTTCGAACCATACTCTTCTACTGATCTGAGGTAGGCGGAAACAAAAACGGGCACTAAAAATGTGGTCATCATTCGAAGAACACCTCTGTGGGTTGGGCGAGCGAATGAACAACAGGCCAGTTACGATGGCATCGACAGTCTATCATAGCAAGCTCAACAATACCGATATAAAGATAACTAGCCTCGCCTTGGAGATTACCCCTCTTCTGGGTACTATACACTAACTTAGCGAACAATGTTGTTGTGGGCCTACGAGAGGAGAGGTCCTTAGGCAACGGTGAGCGGATTACTGAATGTGTGTCTCTCAAACTCATCATTATCAACCTCATCGTTCAGCAGAGTAGGTCATATGATAGTTGGGGTAGAAGAAAGGAAAGCATCAAAGAAAATGGGAAAGACATGGAACTTGCGAAACTGGCATATCGCTAGAAACTGCAGGATGATACTTATATACAATGGCAGGCCAACCAGCTTGTGAACGCGACTGACGATGACATAATAACATTGCGGAAAGGACATACTATCATCAATTAGGGTATTAAATATCGTTATACATCTGCGAATACCAGTAAACAAGGATCTCATAGCTCTGAATCCTGTTCTCGGTTGACTGCACGTTCAAATCTGAGAGTTTGTAAACACAGTCGGTAGAGGGAAAAACACTTTAAAGTTCTGTGAACATGATCTAGCCATGTAGATCGGTGATTAGGAGCAAAGTGGACTCATTGGCGAGCTTCTATGGACCATAAAAGCAAAGTGGCAGCTATAGTGATTATGGAAAACAGTATTTTCGAAATTAGTAAGAAAACGATCACAGACAAGCCTTATAAATTCCATGTCTAACTGACAATCTACCATCTTATAAATGTTATAATTGGAAAAGTGACACGAAGCTAGGTTGCACATTTTCTTATTCCGTGGGATACTTTATGCGCACCTTGAGATCCGGAGACAGAAAACCACATAATCCGGGTTGGTTAACACGATACCCTGGAGAAGCTTTGCTCCCCCCGATTTCAAAATTACGAGTGTCTAATCAATTACACCGTCGGTGATAAATATGGAAAGATAGTGCGAGATAAGGAAGCCTTGGCAGATATGGGAAACACCTGTCCCTATCCGTGTAGTATGTCGATCGACCGAAGCCCACGAGTCACCGTAGAAAGCAAGTGAAGGTTTTAGAACCCAAAAATAGAAGATCATGAATTAACATCTGTTAGGATCAAGAAGTAATAAATTTCATAGGACTGTCGCAATCACGGACACTTGGTCGCACGCTCGCCTCGCATGTCAGATGTCCGAGGTTCTAATCACCGCCCGGTCATTTGCTATGCACTGATGATGAGCTCTAATAAGAGCGAAACTCGAGTCCAGTGCTTCCCTTTGGTGTGGACTCACCGGAATTATTACGCCAGAACAAGAGGGCGACCGTTCAAACGAGAGTGGTGTGACTATGAACAAAATACCTCTCCTGCGAAACCCAAAATTGCGATGGTAATATCATTGACATATTTCATGTTCGGAGTCTGTTCCTGGATGAGAAAGAAGCTACCATGACGAACTCTATCGGAACTACCGAATGGCGCTGGAGGGATACCAAATAGCTCTATTTGCCGTAACGTATACTTTTACAAAATTCAGATGTTTTTCCAGCTTGAACTTAGTGGGAACTAAAGGGATATTTTGATGGTTGGAGAAACACAAGCAGTTGGGCGAAGAGGGGGTTCAAACCTTCACTGAGGGCAAAGTCAGATTCGAAATCGGAAAGAAAGTCCCGTCTCCTAACAAGATGAGTAGGGCTACTTAGTCTTGTCTACTATTGGCTACACGGTAGCCACGTACCGAAAAGATACCATAGTTAAAATGACCTATATAGTTTCGTCTGAACCAGGGGCATCATTGCGTCGAAGTAGATGGAAATCTCGGTAAGTCCGGGTTGCGTACTCAGGCTCTGAAGTAGTCCCAGAGCTCGTAAAAAATATCAGGGAAGCTGTTAAATAAGCTCACTGTTGAAAAACCTTTCAACGCCCGACACGTTTGAAATCTGAGATGAAGGTGGGTCGGTGTGGTTCTTTTGTACAAATTTCGATGACTACTAATGTTTCCTTCACCAAAGCAGACTCCGTCAGGAGTAGAAGAAGTTTGGCACGTTCCGCGGTTGTAGTAATAGCCAAAAAAGTCTCACCGAGAATTTACAACTGTGAGTCTTATTATTTCAGTAAGGACCTGATTAGGTCCGATATAGGGAGCTGTAATGGCTTGGATAGATAAGATGTTGTGGTAAGATATTGTCTACCACGACGCTGCTACGTGGTTTGCTACACACCTAACTAGATAAGAGACAAGAAATGACTGCGAAATAATGTCACTGGTGTCCTCAATGCCAGATCCTATCAGGCTTCTCCGACTGATAACCTGGAAATGAGTGCGTCCTAGACTATTTGTATCAAGGTAATACTTGTTTTTTTAATTCTCCTTTATCCCTACCGCCACAGCGACTTTTCCCAATTGATGTCGTGGACCGGCTATGTGAAACCCTTGTGTAAACACAGAAAAATAGAATGCGATAACAATGACGGGCATGGATTGACTTTGATACCATTCGCTTAATGAAGGCGAGACTGGGTCAATTGACAGCACACCCCTGAAGAGAGGACATCACCGGAAAATATGAGTTCGGTCCGAAGGGAACCCGTTGAAATGGAGATAACAAAGCCAAAACCAAACAAGTCCAAAAGCGTGAACGTAAAAGCTATGTTGTGGCAAAATTTTATGCTTGTAGTAGGAATTCTCATCGACAGATGAATGATCAACGATTTCGAAGACTCATACGTCATTAAAAACACCATGGGACTGCAGGACCCGACAACCAACCATGTTTATCGAGCAAAGGATCAAGTGCACTCAAGAAGCTTATGAGGACACAAAGAATTTATTGGGTAGTAGTGAGAAACTTACTGTGATAAGGCAATGGCAAGTGCATCATTCAAGACACTTTCGCCAAACACCAGAGCATAAAGATGCGGATCCACACCGAGATCGTTGAAAATGGCCAGCACAGTAACTGAATATTGGGTACGTTTAGTACGGGGAATCAATTACCTGGATCGGTAGCAGATATTATGGAACCAAACAGAAGGCAGTCGGCGAATGATAGAATTGCGGCCAGGGAAGATATCATGCGAGTTAGGGCGTAACAGATTGTTCTAAACAGGTAAACAGTTGAAACAATACTAACTCACCCAGCAACGAACGCGGAAAGAAAAGTTCCCAAGAAGGCATAGGTCAGAATTGCCCCAATGTTTTGAAAAAAGTGGTTCTAAAAAGAGCTCGTACGAGTGGGCAGAAATGCTTACTCGCTTCATACTGTATCCTGCAGAGAAAATGATTGGTGGAAGCAGGACGTTGAAAAAAATCTCTGGGTTGAACGTTGCCTTGTTATTGAATGGAATGTCAGTCGGTGTAAGTTGCTCAAATCCGTATTGAAACAGCATCGTAACATTCAGACCACCAGATAGGTCGCGTACGGGCAGCCGTGCAATAAGCTTTTGTGGAGGTAATCGGCTGCCACAGGTACTGTTGGACGACACATTGTGTTCCAGGTTATGATACTCTACAGAAAGTTTCGATGGTTTCATCCCGTATCGTAACGCGATCCCAACGATGAGGCCTAGTATTGAGTAGTGGTAAAATGGTACTTGTAAATTTACCATAAATAACCGATAAGCCAGTCTCGTGGAAATAACGGAATCGACGATGTTTGAAGGTCCATATAGTTATCACAGACAAAACCAACAAGATGACATACACAAGAAGAATCAAGCTATCCAGCCTATGGTCCAACTGCAATCGATCTTCCGTCTCCCGCTCCACTACTTTGCTCTCACTGAGGACACACTGCGAAGTCGATGTCATTGTGACATGCAAAGCAAAACGGGTCCGGAAATGTGCCGGAAGTTTTCACAGTAAAGGGCAAACTGAAATTTAAAAAAAAAAACATTCAAATAATAACATCAAAAAATATGCCTGTGTTACAGTTGTTGTCGTTTCTGGATAGCTTACACGGGTTTTCGAGTTCAACCGAAACTCCACCAATGGGGACGTTGCAGAGTAGGATAGCAATTGTCAAATCTAGTCGACTTGAGCAAACAATCAGTTAGGGGCGGGTTGGTACACATAAAACCATGACTGGATTGATAATATCGCCGAGTCGCTAAAAGTAATAGAGGCGCTGGCTGGGTGTCTTCACAGTACCACCCTACAAACATCTCAACATTTCCCGAACTTTCAAGTTCTTTAAGTTTGGAGTGGAGAGGAAAAAGTGTATTCAGTACGCAGAGCACGTACAAGCAGCATCAACTGGCATACGCGTTCTACGGAGTACTGTATGGGATGGAGGAAGATAGACTCAGATGGTACGGGGTATGTAGTGAGTAGGTTTGTTTTACCTGAACAAAAGACCTCGCCATCTATATGTGCTCTCGATGGTACTTCCCTTTGGCTTAAGGTAGCTGTATGTAGCTGAGACAGGCGAGTAAAGAAGGATAACACCCTCAGCACTTAAAGTGGCGGAGAGGAAGCGTGTAACGCTAGAACAACCCCAGATCGGTTGGGAGAGATGGGTTTGGTAAACCGACGAACAGAATCATCATTGATAGAATGGCATCAGTGTTCAAAACTGATGCTTCACATCGGTGTTGAACACTGATGTCATGCTGAGGATGATGAGGATGATGCTTCGCTGCCATACAACTACGATTTATTTGAAAGTCTTATTGTGAAGGAAAGAATAAAAGTAGACGAGGAGGGACTTAGTGCTGCCCTAACACAATCATCTAGGGGTGCATATACTTCAAGGCATTCACTCAAGCAATCTGGATATAAGCGGATAACAAAATAGCCACTCAAATCGATTAGCAGCCATATATTACAGCTTCTCCAACCAGGTGCACTATGCGTCACGCGGTCCCCGTCCCAGTACGGAAAACAGAATTTTCGCAAGCTCTTCCATACCTCTCTGCTGGATCCACGGGTGACCACTTATCTGCTTCCGTCCGACGCGAAAGGACTGGACATCACCGTACTGTGACGGTTTGTGCACCTCGACGAAGTATTGAGCTATATGGGGGTGTCCGCGCGACACTCAGTCTCTCATACCAAGTTAGTCAAAGGTTAGAAGTCTGACCACCACGATCTTCCAGCCCTGCAGATTGGGATATGGAACATGGGGGCGAGATAGCTCGTGGTTAGAGCGCGAATTTGCTGACCCGGAGGTCCGTGGTTCGAACCCCACCTCTGCCTCTCGACTTCCCCTGTCTAGGCTTGGGCAACCTGGCAGTATCCCAGCCCTCGTGCTTCCTTCGGGTGGCATGGCAGCTAGGCACCGAAAGGGCGCTACAGCTGAACGATTATTTATTATTATTATTGTTATTATTATGATTATATGGAACATAAGTGACTATGTGTTCCGTAAGACTGTAACGTACTACACTTCCCGCTAACCACTGCTACATTGTGGTCAGGCTTTTGAGTCAAAGGATTATGTGTGGGCGCAATGGCAGTATTCCAGCCCAAGTACAACCATGAATCGCACATACACAAATAAGCTCATGCCACATCGGCCGTTGAGTGATGCCATCAGCCGGGTCGCCATACTTGCTACATACAGCAGGGAATATAGGCTACTCCTGACGTCTCCCTTTTTCGCCAACACATACTTTTTCTTTTCCCTCTCCCCACCCACTTAACAAATGTGTCCTTGTAGGCCCGGTATTTAAGACTGATGACTCCGTTCATCCTGTATCGCTTTTGCAAGCAACACGTCATCCGACGCCGAAATCCACAGGCCTTTCAAAATCAACCTTCAAGCCCCGACGCCCAGCTTATCTGGCCGCCTTCAATCTCCGCACTCTGAACCAAGCAGGTAACAAGCTGCTTTTGCTCTCACACTGAACTCTCTTGGCATTGATGTGTGTTGTGTATCAGAAACAAGAATTCAAGGTGTAAGCACAGTGATTGAAGTAACAACCCCATCGCTTCCCACTCGCTTCCGGATGCGCATCTCTGGTGATCCAGAGGCTGCTGCGGCAAGATGTGGAGGGGTCCTAAGTCACTGGGCGGGAGGATCCTTGCTTGACTGGATACCCGTTATTAGTCGCCTCGAGACGGTTTTTATGGAAACGTCTGTGAAGGAGTCTCGCAAGGGGAGTTGATCGATCTGTTTGTCATGCCTACTTACGCCCAACTGACTATGGCAGTGCCACCATCAAAGAAAAGTTTCACGACGCACTGAATGCCCTGTTATGGCGAGCTAAAAGCTCATATATTGTTGTGGTTGCCGGAGTGGACGCATGTGAGCAGGCGTAACGCATGTGTACGGTAATGAAGCATCAGTGTCAACATTGATGTTGCTGTCTATGATGGAGATGATGATTATGATGACGATGATAGAGCATCTGAGACTCAATTAGGTGGCTGACATGGATTAGACACGGCATGTACGCACAATGGTGAGCGGTTGCTTCAGCTATCTGCTGACCAAAGGCTATTTTTATCCAGGACTAACTTCTGAAATCACCGAAGTCGTCTGGTCACTTGGTGCTCCAACGGCATGCCGGCTACAAACTCAAATCGATCACTGCCACCAGTTACTGACGGGACGGATCAATAACCGACCACCGGTCGTTCCGGAACACATTTGTGGATTCCGACCACGCACTCGTCCGGAGTCGCTTCTCCCTCTGTTTTCCAGGGCCGCGTAACGTGCTGACAAATCGCCTGGTAACTAGAAGACTGGCAGATCCAGATGTTAAATAAGTTTACTAAAATCGTCTTCTAGAGTCTCTTCCAAATGCTCCACCATCAGATGTGAATTTATACTGGGAAGAAACCACCACCTCTTTGCACAGTGCTGGGAGTTTCGCCTCTGGTACGGCGCTACCAGGCTCACTCAAACACTGGATATCATACCGAACAGTGGCACTGCTTAAATCTCGGATAAATATCCCAGCAGGTCCCGAACATAACCTGACCTGACGAATTGTCAGATGTCAAGTGAAGGTGGGCGTGCGAGCCGACCGTAAAGTCTGGTGGATACGGAAAGCCGAGGAAACAAAAGAGGTCCAGAAGACCGTGAGTGTCCGGTGATTATTTCAGCCCCCACCTAAAGTGGTGGTCGGGGTTGAGTGTTGTAATGAACCCGCGGGGCCATACTGGCTTCAAGCTTCGTTCCACAAGGTGCGGCCATACCAGGAAGGCCAAAGTGGAGCAGTCAGACCAAGAGTAGCACGACGCCGTACTACGTGCAAACGGGCTACGAGGCATTCTGGAGGGTAAAGTCATACCGTCCTCTGCCAAAGGAGTGCGAAGGCAGCAAGATGTTTATGGGAGGTCCACTATCAGCCTCTAATATCTGTGATTTCGAAGTTCTCCCAGGGTGCCCGCTCACTTCTATAGAGACAGCGTCCAGGGAGACATCAACGACCAGCGCAGCTGAATTTGCTGGTACTGGCTTTCACACTTCACTGCCAAGTTATTGTTTCACCTACCCTGGCTCGTTTCGGCCTTCGCGAAGTTTTGCAAAAAAAGCCCTTCGAGGAAGTAGGTCGACTGGCATATGGAACACGTGACCAAGCAGCCGCAACGCACGTAGTGTGATCAGTTCATCTATCATGGGTTAGTTATTTCCGAATACTATTCGACGTACTTCAGCAGTGCTGATCCGGTTTTCCAACCAGACTCGGTCAAAGCTCCAAAGACATATATGGTGTCAAACTGCAAGTCTTTTGACGTCTCAGGCACGCGGCGGCCAGTTTCCTGACCCGTATAGCAATACTGATCAAACCGCAGCACTGTAAACTCGGCTCTTGACGGATAAGCTGATGTCACGCCTACACCACAGGTGACGTAGGTTCACAAAAGCAACGCTGGCATATGGAACATATGGCCAAACCAGCACAACCTATGCAGTGAGTCTTCCGTAATCGTATCAGTGACGAATTGGAAGAGGAAATGTGGGAGAGGACAGCATTGTCTGACACCACCTGATGTCGTGAACTCATGCGAGAGCTTCCAATAGACATTCACACGTCTGTGTGAAGGTCAGGAGAGGGAGTCGGGAATCTACGAGGGACACCTCTACCTCATAGACACTGCCATAGTGCCACAGAGTTATAGCCAGCTTTCTAGTCATACGACAACCAGTGCTGGTTACTGGAAGCAGTGTCGATGTCCCAGAATCTGTCAGATGGTAAAAGTGTGAACGATGCATCCTCTTGTACGACGGAATCCAGCTTGGTTTTCACGGATCTGTCTGTCCGTATGTTCAGTTACCTTCGAAGGATAAAATCAGAGAAGACCTTCGATGCTACAGCTACCGGGCTGACGCCAGGATGGCTTCCGGACAGCGTCCGCGTTCCATTTTTGAAGATGGGAATTACTGTCGATATGCCTCATTTTATAGGCATTTTTTCTTCACTCCATATTGCACCGGTGGGTTTTGTTAGATGGGATTCTCCGGAAGAGGGCTGGATTCAGACAGTCCGGTCTTCGTGCCTTCTCCCGTTTCAGTAACGATGATTCATACTTTCTTGTTCTTCTGATGAGAAATTTAGGTTTCATTCCATTCGCCGGTATGCAATATCTCCAGAGGTTGTGTTGCAGAAGGCCCGCTAAAATGTTCCTTGAAGGGTTCGGTCCATCGTTTCAGTCGATGTTTTCGCGAGTGAGTTAATGAGCCACCTTTATCATTCATTGTTTCATCGACCATTGCTTCCATAAGCGCAAGTGATCGTATCAGTTGAAACGATCCGGAAGCAAAAGCCTTCTTAATCTCCTGAGCTTTCTATAGCTACCAGAGATCTGGGTCTTTCCTTGAGCATTTCACTAGTTGGCGTTTGAGGGGCTTGCGTGCGCCGTTACCTGTTAGT